AAATTAAAAAAAAAAAAAAAAAAATAAATTTTTTTTTATTTTTTTTTTTTTTTTTTGGTGTTTTGAGGTGATCTTGTAGTGATTCTCAAAATTTCAAAAAAAAAAATTTCATTTTTTTTGTTTTGAGAAACTAACAAAAAGAACGCATTTTCAACAATTTCAAAACAAACACTCAAAACACAAAACTCAAAATGAATTCAAAACTCAAAACACAAAACTGAAATACAAAGAGAACACCCCCTTAATTTTTTCTTAATGGTGGGCTGTATTTTTGAATTAAGTTATGTATTGTTCAATGGATAGTTTTTTGTTTGTCTATCATTATTTTAAAATTATCTTTTCTTTTAACTCATTTTCAATTACGCATTCTCACAATAAAATACATTGCACATAAATCTACAAAAAAAAGTTCCTACTTTTTAACAACACATTCTTCAAAAATTCACTATTTTAAACCTCATTTTCATACTTTAATGTACACAAACGGTGGCTAAGGTTCAAAAACTGCCAACATATTCTAGGAGTAGTTTCTAATAAAATATTATCCGCAATTCATAATATTTAACCAAAGACCGTACACAATACAGGGAAAGTTCAATCTTATCGACTTCTATTTTCGTCATTCTTTTGACCATTTTCGACACCAACATGTTCAATTTATGGCTTAATTTTTTTGAATATTATCCAATGGATAATTCATCCAAAATAAATATATTAAAAGATAAAAAGATTGAAAAGATGTTCAAATAAAAACTCAACTCGAGAATCACGACTAAAGTTCAAATTCAAGATTTTCAACTGTGAGACATCAAAAATATTCATGCTATAATTACATTTTTATTTTATTATGTTGTATTTGTATTACTCGATACTTGCTAAAGGAGAGTCCTAGATGTCAACGTGAAAATAGATCGAATTCCGAACAAATTTCAAGGATTTTAAATAATTTTGGAAGAATGGAGGTATCAATGAGATGGATTGGCATGCAAACGTCCAAGAAATAACTGAGTAGAAAGGCTTAATAATAAATATGATTAAATAGGAAACTTAGTTTAGGTTATTTGTTAAGATTAAATCTAAATTTTAATCTAATTCAAAACCAACAATTAATATTGATCACTTATTTAATAGAATTCATAACTTTTCAATTAAACATCAAGATATACCAAAAATCTGTTTTTATTACTCACTAAACAAAGCTTAATATTACATAAATCAATCTAACAAATGATTATTTTTTGAATTGTGAAAGATTAAACACAAGCAAAATACGTAGTAACATCTCAAGTGAATGAGAACATGTGGGAATAATAAGGTATATTCTTTTTTTCTTTTTTCTTTTTTCTTTTTTCTTTTTTGACATCCGTATGTAAAAAGATAAAGGGGAGATCACTAAAAAACGAGAGTAGGGTCAGGGGCGGACCCAGGATGAAAATTTAGTGGGAGCGA